AATTCGAATCCACCAGCTGCTCCTTGGAAATCCTATAGGGCAGTTCTACTCTGTCCTATAGGGTTGCTATGAGTCAGAATCAACTTCATAGCAACTGGTTAGGTTTTGATTCATACTACTATCCCTTCCCCAGCTCTTTCTAAGGTCAAGCATATAAGCCTATCAACGCAGGTTGATGCCAAGCTTGGTACACAGCAAAGGCTCGATAAATGACAGTAGCCAACAGCAACTTGCAGGCACCAATGAAACATTAATGCCCTTACAGTATTAACAACTTTCTCAATTGTTACCCCAGCTTAACACTGAATGTCCTAAAACGAAAACCAAACCCAAACCTGTTCCATCGAGTCGATTCCAACTCATAGTGACCCTGTAGGGTGCAGCAGAATAGGGTTTCCAAGGCTGTAAATCTTTACAGAAGCAGACTGCCACATCTTTCTCACGCAGAGCGGCTAGTGGGTTCAAACGGCCAACTTTTCAGTTGTCAGCCAAGTGTTTAACCGCTGCACCACCAGGGCTCCTCCTGTAAAGATTACAGCCTTGGAAATCCTATAGAGCAGCTCTACTCTGTCCTACAAGGTCGCTATGAGTTGGAATCGACTCAAGGGCAACGGGTTTGTATTTGCTTTTTTGTTTTTTTTGGTTCTACCCTCCCTAGCCCATACAGAGGGACCAGAGTGGTCCCAGGGGTATGGCTGAAGGAAGTCAGGAGATTCTGTGGCAGGCTATTCGCTACCTTTCTTTCTTTTTTTTTTTTTTTTAATTTTATTGTGGTAGAATATATATATCAAAGTTTGCCATTTGAACCTTTTTTAAGTGTACAACTCAGCATCACCACTATGCGTTTCCAAAAGGTTTTCATCACCCTTAAGAGAAACTCAGCATTCCTTCAGCAATAATTTCCATTCCATCCTCTCCCCAGCCCCTGGTCACCACTAATAAACTTTGGTCTCTATGCGTTTGCCTCTTCTAGATATTTCGTATAAGTGGGATCACACAATATCTGTCCTTTTCTGTCTGACTAATTTCACTCAGAATAATGCCTTCAGGTTCATCCATGTGGTAGCATGTATCAGAACTTCATTTCTCTTTTATGGCTGAGTATAGCCCATTGTATGGTAGGTATACCACATCTTCTTTATCCATTTATCTGGTGACAGACACTTCAGTTGTTTCTACCTTTTGACTATTGTGAATGGTGCTGCAACCCTCTTTTCAAGGGTTTTTTTCTGGGGTTTCCAGACCCTGGCATGGCCCTCACAAACTGAAATTTAGACCCTGCCAGAGCCAGTCCTAGGCACAACTCTTCTTAGCAAGGGGGCGGGGAGAGCCCAGAGAACCAACCAAATTGACTTGTGTTGACCAAGAAGGAAAAGTGACAGTCAAATCCAGAAAGGACGCACCGAGCTGGGGAACTGAGAGTCGATTCTGCTCTCTGCCCCGGCCCGTCCCACAACGGGCTTCCCCGAGAAGTTGCCTCCTTTTCAAGGGGAAGGCAGCTGGAGTTCAAGAAATACAGAGGCCATGCCAAAGCTTCCTCAAGGCCCGAGAGGCCCATGCCAAAGGGCTCTACCTCTGCCCAGGGAAGGTGGCCTGGTTTCGGTAGCCGCCATTTGGCTGATCCCATGGACACAGGCCAAGATGACTTCAAGTGGCAAGAAGGGGTGGGGGTGGGGGCTAGTATTCACCGCTAAGTGACCGGGACAGGGCTGTCTGCAGCTGTCAGCTTTCTCACATGGAGGTGCAGATGTCAGGGAACAGGGTGTAAGTCCTGCTCCCCACTCCCCTCTCTGGGCTCTGCTGAGTCCGGCAAAGGTCGTGGCCCAGGAGTCCCTCCTCCCATCATCCAAGGGGGCCAGAGAGCTGGGCAGCCCTGCAGCATAAGGGACTCCCTCCTAGAAAGGCAAGCTCCTCACTACTCCACACCAATAACATCACTGTCAAGAGTATCTGTAAAAATATCTACCATTTGCCAAATGCTTGCTACCTCCAGGCACCCTGCTGCACATGTCATTCCACTTCACCCACATTCCTGAGATCCAAGTGGTATATCACTCGCACTGCAGATGAGGAAACTGAGGCTGCGGGCAGGCAAGTGTTACCAGAAGCGAAGAAACAGGCTCAGGAAATGAAACGGCCAGCTCAAGCCCACACAGCTTGTGACCCACACCAGTTAGGTTCCACACTGGGGCCCTCATCAGCCCCCAAAGATGCCTCTGGTCCACCTCCCACACGTGAAGCAATGGGGGATTCATGCACGTGTCCTGGACTACATCCCATGTCCCCACCAACACGACCGATTCAAATACTGGGAATCTAGAAGAACAAGCAGCTTGCAGCACACAGCTGCCTTTCTCTTCTGGAGAAAATTTCGATGGCCAAGTATGGGAGAAAGGATTCCTGACACCTTCTCACCTGGCCAAAGCACTCAGGCCCTTGAAGAGTCCAGGCTGGAAAACGCTGAAAGCCAAGGAAGAAAGTTCATCCCAAGAGAAGGCCTATACAGATCCTCAAAAAGTTAGACACAGAATTACCAGATAAATCCAGCAATTCCACTTCTAAGTATAGACCCCAAAGATTTGAAAGCAGGAACACAAACAGATACGTGTACACCAGTGTTCATTACGGCACTATCTGCAATAGCCAAAAGGTAGAAACGTAAGTGTCCATCAACAGAAGAATGGATAAACAAAACGTGGTCCATCCATACAATGGAGTACTACTCAGCCAGAAAGCATGAAGTCCTGATACATGCTAACACATGACAGAACTTTGAAAACATTAGGTTAAGTCTACTGAGTCAGACACAAAAGGACAAATATTACATGATCCCACTTATATGAACTACTTAGGATAGGCAAGTGTATAGAGACCAAAATTTATTAGTGGCTACCAAGGGTGGGCAGGAGAGAGAGTCACTGCTTAGGGGACAGTGAGCTTCTGTTAAGCATGATGAAAAAACTTGGAAACATAACAGTGATGATTAAACATGAACACAATGTCACTGAGTTGTACATGTGGAGAATGATGAAATGGCAAACGTTTTGTTACATATTTACAATTGAAAAAAAAAGAGAATGAGAGAGGGGGCCTAAAGCTTCCAGTAGCCTGGTTCACCCCTAAGTAACAAGGGGGTGCTTCCCCTTGGCCTGTCCAGTTCCCACATCCCCCCAGTGGCTGGACCATCTCTGACTTTTTCCAGGGAACTGTTGGTGAGTGCTCTGAGCCCAGTCTGCTCTCAGATCCAGACGTATGCAGGCCCCACGCCCCAATGCTGGGACTTTGCACTCTCCCTGGGACACTTCAGAGCAATTCCTCCTTGTGCGCCCGCTCTCTCCCATCCTTTTCTCAGAACAAGTGCTGCCTCGCCCTGAGCAGTAACCCAGCCAATTCTGTGGCCATGGCCAGCCCACTGTGGGAGCAGGTGCTACCTTTGTTCATTTATGAGCAAACACCCTGGGCCGCACAATCTTATGAGGAAACTGAGGCACAAAGTCCCAAGGCTAGTAAAATGGCAGAGCACAAGCCTAATCCATGTAGTGGGTTAAATAACGTCTCCCAAAAGAGATATATCCACCTCCTAACCCCTAGAACCTCTGAAGGCGACCTTATTTGTGAAAAGGATCCTTGCAGCTGTAATAAGAATCTTGAGATGATATCATCCTGTATACAGGGTTGGCCCTAAATTCAATGACAAGTGTCTTTACAAGAAGAGATGAGGACACACAGACAATGGGGAGAAAGCCACATTGAAGACAGAGGCAAAGATTGCAGTGATGCTGCCATAAACCAAGCAACACTGGGAGCCACCAAAAGCTGGAAGAGCCAAAGAAGGATCCTCCCCTAGAAACTTCGGAGGCAGCATGGCCTTGTTGACACCTTCATTTCAGATTCGGGCCTCCAGAACTGTGAGAAAATAAATTTCTGTTGTTTTAAGCCACCACATTTACGGTAATTGTTGAGCAGCCAAAGAAACTGACACACCCAGCTTTGGCTGACTCCAGAAGCCACACTCTTAACCCCACGGCACTGTTACTTGAGCATCATAAAGAAAAAAACTTCTTCCAGTCCCTTGAGAATATATCATCCCAGAATAAGGATCCCAGCTTGAGAAACGCAGACTTTCTCCTCTTTAAACATGTTCCGGCTATGAATTACCTCTAAGAGAGAAGTGTTGTCTTTAGTGTAAGTAATAACTTCAAGATTATCAACCAAACAAAAACACAAAATGTAAAAACTCTCCTGGAGACAGATCAGGGAAACTGGGTGTGGGGTGTCTGGGAACTCTCTGTACTATCTTCACAATAATTCTGTCAATCTAAAACTGTTCTAAAATAAAAAAGTTTATTGGGAAAGGAAAAAAAAAACTCCTAGAACTCCTTGAGAGTAAGCCCTCTGAGGATAAGTCCTGGGATCTTAGTTTGAGAAACGCTGCCCTACTTTATTCTGTCCAGGATAGAGATGGCCTAAGTGCTTGCCAACTGAATGGCCGTGCTTATGATCTCTGGATTCTGCTGACCTTAAGATGGAGCTTAAGTATCTGTCTTGATACCCTTCTCCCCCCTCCTCCTCTGGTCTAAGACCCCAGATGTGCACCAGCAAAGAGAGGCACCATACTTCAGTCTATCTTTTCAAAGTCGAGGTGCAGGGAAAATCCTATGAGAACTCACTGCTCCAGGCTTCTCTTTGGAACACCTCGACCCCAAAGTGGCAAAAAATTCACGCAGACCAAAGCCAGGAGAGACCTCCCTCCCCAGGGCATCCGTGCAAGAAACCCTAGGAGACAAAGCAGAATGAAACAGAATAGCAAAATGTGAACTAGGAATCCGAGAGAACAGATAAGAAAAGAAAGAGTAACAAGAGAAAGAAAAACCATGAACTACAAAGACTCAGAGTCCTTGGCAAACACATGAGAGATTCTGTTCCACGGAAATGTCAGTTTGGGAATCAGCTTCTGAAAATGTAACCAGCTTCTCACATCCCCCAAAAGAAAGCAAGACTGTGGCGAGGGAGGAGATTATCCCTTACTTCCAAGCCGGACTTCAGGCTCGGCCCTGTCCCTACACATTTCCACCAGGGACACATCCTGCGGCTCACACACCCGCGTCCAGGAGTTTCCCACTCTAGAGATCCTGACCACCAAGCCCTCAATATGGAGCGGGATCAGGTCCTCCCGGCCGCCCCAGTCTAGGAACCACTTTCCGACTGTCCTGAGCAGCCCCCAGCCCACCCTCCTCCTCGCCAAGGCGGCCACACCCGCCCCCGAGGCTCCCAGCCCTCCCACACCCCAGGCCCTCTTTCTTTCCCACCCAGCCCCCACACCTCTGCTTCACTCACCTTCCCTTCTCAGCCCCCCACTTCCTGTCCACCCTGCCCCCCCAAATCCCAGGCCCCTCACTCCCCCCTTTCCCGCGTCCCTCCTTACTCTGGGCGTCTCACCCCTCTGGCCACCACGCACGCCCTGTCCTCTCTCGGCAGCCTGACACCGTTTCTCACACCCCTCACTTCGGGCCCCTCACGCCCAGGTCCCTAGGCTCGCATTCCAGGCCTCAGCTCAGCCCCAAGGACCCCCGCCAGGCCCCCACAGCTCAGAGCTCCTCACGCTCGGACCCGTGTCGCCCCCTCAGGGACCCCTGCCTCGGCCGGCCTCGTGCGAGTCCCCACGCACGGCCCGGCCCGCCCCCGCGTCCCCGCACTCACGGCTGTAGAGGGCAATGCTCGCCGCGTCCGGGCCGGCGCGCACCTCGAGGCGCAGCGCCTGCTGCTCCGCGTGCCGCTGGATCTCGCCATTCGCGTCGCCGATGGTGAGGAGACGGGCACCGGGGAATACCGACACG